AGTCCCGTGTGTCGTCAGACCTCAGCCGTATCCTACAGCTACTTCAGTATCCACAGGACCACCCCAGCTACATCCTGGGAGCCCCTGCCTCCAGTGACCTGGCCTTGTTTCCTGAAACTTCAGTGACTCAGAGTTCAGAGTCTACACTTCCGGTGGGACATATGCCCTCTACACAGGTGAGAGGTGAGGGGATCCCCAGGGTCTCCCTGCAAGCAGTTGCATGATTCTCTGACCCTCAACTCAGCCTCAGTGTCTGTGGTAGGATGAGAAGCTGTATCTTCTGCTGCCCATTTTATGATTTACATCGCCGGACAGGGCAGCCTAGACAAGTGCTGGCAGAGCCCTCATGGTAATCACAGACTCCACAGTCCCCACTGGGAGATTCAATAGGCCCCTCAGGTTCCCCCAAGTTCCCCCAGTTCCCTGAGGAGGAGCAGTTAGAGCTCTTTCCTGTTCCCATCCCAGAGGTCAAAGTGGATCAATATCCAGCTTAGGGGCTGGGAGAGGTGGCTCAGTTAGGAAAGTGCTGGGCATGCAAGTGTTAAGACCTGAGTTCGACTCCCACCACCCGTGTTAAAAGCTAGGCATGGTAGTATACACTTGTAATTTCAAGGCTGGGGAGGTAAAGACAAGTGGATCCCTAGGGTTCACTGGCCAGCCAGTCTAGCTTAATTGACAAGCCCTAGGTCTTTGTGAGAGATCCTGTCACAAAAGCAAGGCAGACATCTCCTAAGCAACAACATCTGAGACTGACCTCTGGCTTCCACATGTACATGACTTATGTATACATGCACTGGTGCACACTCATACACACACACACACACACACACACACATACACACACATGCACACATGCACCAAATGAAAAAATATCTCACCTGACCTGGAAGTAGTAGGGTAAGACTCCATACACAATATACCCTCTTTACTTTTGCCTTTCCTCCCAGACGCTAAGCTATGGTGACTTGGACAAACATATTCGGACGCCCAGGAATTTCTCCCCCAGGATACCTCACGTGGCCATGACAATGGATAAAACTCTGGTACCATCTTCAGAACAGGAGCAACCTGAGGGGCTCCTGTCACCTCTAGGCTCACCCCTGTGTCCCCTGGAAGTACAGGGACTGGGTGCTTCCCGCTTTCCCTCCCTCCCTGAACACCTCAGCTCTGTTCCCAAGCAGCTGGAGTTTCAGAGACATGGTTCGGATCCTGGATTCACAAGGAGTTAGGGCCTTTAGATCCTAGGATAAAAGCTACCATGAGGGACTTTAAATATAGCAAGGTGAGAGTTAAGCCCCCTTCAGGGAGGGTCAGACAGCTCTCCCATAAATCTCTGAAAACCATTTTCTCAGAAAAACTACAGACTGCTGATCCAGGTGATCAGGATGACCTGAGCAAAGAGGCTCAGGACTTGGCCCAGCCTTCTTGGGACTCCCTGTTGTCAGCAAGCCAGGAAGAGGGTTGCTCAGAGGTAGCTTACAGGATGCAACAGTCAGTGGAGGAGAGAGATGCTTCAGATCTTCCGGAGAGTCTTGCTTGGGGATGTAAGTGATTGTCCCCCGGCTCAGAAACACCCTCTGCTTCAAAAGCCCAGACCCAAGGCCAGGATTGACCAGACCTTTACCAAAAGCCTCTAGTATGGCTGGAATTGGAGGTGTCCTCTGTGGTGGACATAAAAGACAGAGCTCCAGCCCTCAGCCCCTCTACCCCAGAGAGTCCCATAACAATATCTGGGACATGTAGTATCACATAGCTAATAAAGTCTTCAACATTTCATGTTGGGCTAGATGTGTAACTTTCTTGAACATCCTCAGGTCCGTGCCTATGCTGGGACCTTCTCCAAACCCTTCCCACATTCAGCCTGTTGGAGACCTGAAGATGTCTCAGCTGAGCTCAGGAGCTCCACAACCTGAAGCTATCTCCAGTGGAAGGGAAGCAGAGATTCTGCCTGTGTCCATAGAGAATCATGGCCATAGTCAGTGTTTGTCCAGCATCCCACCATCCTGCCCTGGACATGGCTGTTCTTCTAACCCTCAAAACAGCCTTAAGGAAGTTGGTTTTACTGTCCTTGCATGAGAGGTCTTAAGTTGGTAGCAGAGAGACTATAGCACTTACCAGAGTGTGAGCAGGCCTTCTGAGCATGTCAGTATTTGCCTTCTGCTCTGGTGATGGGTATATGGATGTGTTCTGGTTAGGAAAATGTGCACTCCCATATATAAACGACATTTCATCAAAAAGTTAAACTTAACATATTTGAAAAAGGAGAACACAGTTTCAACCCACACACCTCACTTGAAAGACATGTTAAAACATCACTGCTTTTCAGATAATTCTAATCCGTCCCCCCAGCCCATTTTTCCTTCCTTTTGCAATTTCTATCTGATGCCTCAGAGTCTGTTAGTGAGTATACAAGCACACATTTCCAAGTGTTTATACAAACTAAAATGCTAAAGCTAACTTTTTGTACCCTTAGTAAAACTAGTTCAAAACAACATGTGAGGGCTAGTGGGATGGCTCAGTGGGTAAAATGCTTGAGGACCTGAACTCTACCCTCCAAACCCTAATAAAAGTCCCTGCAGTGATGGTGCATACTTGCAGTCCTAGCACTGGGTGAGGGTGGGGAGGGACGGCTGAGACAGGGGGATCCCTGGGACTCACTGGCCAGCCATTCTAGCCTAACTGGTGAACTTGAGGCCAAGGAGAGCCACCGTCTCAAAGGAGGTGAGTGGCATTCCTGAGAACATCACCTAAGGTTGTCCTCTGGCTTCTGCATGCGTACACATATATGTACACATACACACATGTATGCATACCTTCTCACGTGCCTGCACACAAATTTTTAAAAAGTAGTTCATGCCTGTAAATGCAGCACTTGAGAATCTGAGGCAGAACAGCCATGGGTAGTGAGTGGGTCAGGAGCCAGAACAATATACTAAGATAATCCAACCATCCAGAAAACCAACCAACACAACCGCAGAAATTAGCAAGTATCTCTCAGTAATAATCCTTAAATGAAAATAACCTGAACTTACCAACAAACATTTAGAAAACAAGATCCGACTATCTATTGTTTCAACACAAAACAACCCAAAACCATTTCAGTGGCAAAGACACCTACAGACTGGTAATCATAGCATAAAAGTCAGTCTGTCAAGCAAATAGTCACATGTGTCTACAGTCAGAAAGCAGAGAGGGGTGGGTGCCCACACTCAGTGCTTGCTGCTTCCTCTTGAGTTTAGGATTCCAAGTCACGGGATGGAACTGCCCATAGTTAAAGTGAGTCTTCCCACCTCAGTGAACCGAATCTAGACCATCCCTTCCATGATACTCCAAGCTTGTCTCCCAAGGGATTTTAGAGTCTTTCAAGTCAGGAACCATCACAGGACATCAACAGATTGCAAAGAAATTCAGAGGACCATTAGGAATTCCTTTCCAGTTTATATTCTACACCTGAGAAAAAAAACTTGTGGGAAAAAAAGGGGTGAATTCCTATACATATATAACCTACCAAAATTAAATCAGAAGGACACTAGCAGTTTAATCAGGTCCACAGCAAGCAGCAAGATTGAAGCAGCACTAAGCTGGGAAACACCCAGGACTGGATGGATTCACTGCCGAGTCCTACCCACCTTTAAAAGAGACCTGGTCCATAAAATAGAAAGACCTCTACTAAGACCATCCTACAAAGTCATTATTAACCCACTAAAAAAATCAGAAATTATGTAACCAATAATAAACTGTGAACCAAATTTCCTGATAAGCACAGAAACAAAATTTTTCAATAAAATACATACCTCCTAGGCATCCAGTTATTATTTTTTTAATTTTTATTATTTTGAAACAGATTCTCAACTAGCCCAGGCTGCCTCTACCTGGCTCTGTAGCCTAGGATAGAGGTGTGCAACACCATGCCTAGGCTCTATTAAAAAAAAAAGTATACAGGTGGGCATTACTAAAAGATGGTTGATAAGTATATATCATTGTCCCTCAAGGCTTCCAGTATTTGTTTCTGTTAAAATCACATTCATTAAAAATTGTATTTTGTGGGTTAGATAGTACAGCTGTCAAGAGCACTTTGCACTCACATGGTGTCTCACAACCATCTGTAACTCCAGTTCCAGGGGATCGGATGCCTCTTTTGACCTACGTGGATACCTGTTCGCATGTGGTACACTTACTTACACTCAGGTACACAGAAATGCACATAAAATTAATGTATTTTAAATTGTGTTTTATTATACTGCCTAACAATTCAATAGAACCTCTTTCAATAAAGTTGAAAGCATTTACATTTATAATGGTGTACCTAGATCCAGGCTTTTCTGCATTTCAAACATAGACATTTAAGGTTGGATTACCTTTTGGCTTCTGAACACCCCAGAGAAGGAAGGTAAGTGACTAATAGCCAGGTCCATTGCAAATCAATCCTAGAATTCAGGAGTCTTTTTAGTGTCTACAGGAAAGCCTTAATGTAACCTGTTCCTGAACGTCTCTATCAGGCCTGTAAGAGAACAGTTAAAACGTGGGTATTGGAGCTGGCGGAGAGTTCCCGTTTGGCAAAGGCTGAGGAACCGCCGGACTTAGGGCGATGTAATAAACGCAGGTGATCTTCCACGAAGGTAGATTTGACAGTTACTCTCAGTGGAGAGAGGCGATCAGAACAGCAGCAGCAGTGGAGCAGTGGCAGGCTTCACTCTTGGCCTAGAATTTGGATCCGCAGAGGGGTACACTTGCCCCCATGCCACCCACGCCCCCTTTCACCCGCACTGCGCCGTTATCCGTCTGACTGACATCTAGGGTAGCCAATGATCTATGGGACTTCAAAAGTCCCCGCCTCCAGGAGTTGGGCGGGGCGAATGAGAAAAATGACAAACATTTCCACCAATAATGAGGAGGGCGCGGGCGCTACGACTATGTCAGCCAATGAAAAGAAGGAACAGTTTGGAAAGGACGTGCCCGGCAGCCAACGCTCGTCGCTGCTGCGGGGTCGCGTGGCTTCCGTTCCGAGAGGGCGGGCCGGCATCCTAAACGGAAGGTGGTAGTCGCTGCCCGAGCTGGTTTGAAACTGGTGGTCGGGCCCAGCCGAGTGTGTGTGTGTGTAGCTGAGGACCCGCTGGAGGGCTAGGCCGTTCTTGACCGCCCCGGCCCCGCCTCCCCTCGGACCCGCGGACCGAAGCCCGGCTCCCCGCCTGTCTTGTGCCCCAGCCCGCTGCCTCTCCGGCCGGCTCTGCGGCCCAGCCGCCACCATGTCCCTGCACGGCAAACGGAAGGAGATCTACAAATATGAAGCGCCCTGGACTGTGTACGCCATGAACTGGAGCGTGCGACCGGACAAGCGCTTTCGCCTGGCGCTGGGCAGCTTCGTGGAGGAGTACAACAACAAGGTGAGTTGTGCAGGGACTCAGCTTGTAGCTGGCGGGGAACGCTCGACCCCACAACTCTCCTGCGAACTCGCCTCTACCACAACAAGGGGGTGGGTCCTCTGTGGTCCTGTTGCTGAGGGCGTCACACTCGCTTTGCCTCTTATTTAGTTTTGACAGCCGGGGAAACTGAGGCACGGTGTTGTGACATGCCTGAGGCAGATAAGATTTTTGGTGATAGTAGCAGGTTTCAAACCGAAGTTACACCCCATAAAGCCATGTCCTCCGTTCCTCTCATCTCCCCCACTTCTGTCGCATTGCTTCTGTTGCTAGGTGGGGGGCGGGAGAGAGGCAGTGGAGGAAGATGCGGGCGCTTGGATTGGTGGTCGTGCATTCCTGGCCACGCGAGATTTCTGTTAGGGCTATTTATTGCAAGATCTTCCCCATCTCAGGTGTTTCTCATGGATACAGAGCCCTAGTGCTAGGTTGTCATTGGTCACTGGCTTTGCTCCTCGATGTTCACCCTCCCCGAAACAGTCTATCCTTGGAAACCTTAGTCTGTGGCATTATCCCGCCATTATTTCTGAATAGAGAAAGATGACGTTTGACCTGTTCTTTTCGTGGTTCCTTACACGTTGATTTGCAGAGTTGCTGGACATCACCACTTCATCAAAATGCTGGTGGAAGGAGAGAGTGTTTATATGCAGAATATAGGCTTAAAAGTATTGAGAAGAATTTTCTTTCCCTAATCTCTTACCTTCATTCTTTTGTTGTAATTTGAGTGAAAAGAAATATGAATGACAGTGATCAGAGCTACTGAAAGCTTTGGCCAGTGGTGTTTATAGCCAGTACACTGCCTTACTCCTATGAACATCAGATTGGAGACAAATAACAAGATGTGGGAGGAGTAGAAGTAGGTGGTCTAGGATTTAAGTATAAGGCATTATACTTAAAATTTTATTATTTCTGACCCACAGTGATCTAGGAGAGGGCTTCTGTTTTACATGTGAAGGTTCAGGTGAAAACAGCTGAACATTTTAGGTTTGTTTATAGTATTTCAGGAGCACATTTGTTTCTCTGGGTAAGGATCCCCTTTTCTTTGGAGTCTTCTTTGAGAAATGAGTGAAAAGGATGGACTTTGATTGCCTATACATCACAATTCACTAACAGTTTGCAGTCCCACGGAGGGTGTGCAGAGCTGCCCTTTCCTGGGCAAGAGCAATATTTCTTTTCTCCTCTCTAGTGGCTTTTTGTTCCCCCTACAGTGGCAGTAAAACTGGGACTGGGTTTCAGGGTTCTGGTGTGTGTAGTGTTTGAAAGGTTAAGACCACTAGAAATATTATTTAAGGATTCATGTAAGAAATAAAAGTAAAGTATTCTCAGGACTATGGTTTTTTCCCACAGAAATTAATTTTTTCCCCTTTTAAGTTCTTCCATAGTCTTTTATCTAAAAGAGGAGAAATTGAGTGCCTGCAGAGGCCAGAAGAGGGTCTCCTGGAGCTGGAGTTACAGGCTGTTGTAAGCCACTTGATGTGAGTGCTAGGAACCGAACTCAGGTCTTCTGCAGTAGCAGCGAGTGCTCTTGTCTGCTGAGCCATCTCTCCAGTGCCCCATTTAAAACTATGAACATATCCAATGCCCCCTAAGGAGCAAGTATGTAATATAAAATAACACTCAAGCTGGGCCTGTGGCTGTCACTGTAATTCTGGCCCTTAAGAGGATGAAGCAGGAGGATTATTGTAAGTTTGAAGCTTGCCTGGGCTACATAGTGAGCTCCCAACCAATCAGAGTTACAAAGTAAGACCTTGTCTCAAACAAACAAAACCCCCCATGCATCTTTACTTTCATTCCTGTGGCTAATAAACATATATCACTCGTATCTTATGAGGTTATCATGTTTTGAGACAGTCTCATGTAGCCCAGGTAGGATTTGAACTCCTTATCCACCTGCCTCCCTCCACCTCCCAAGGGCAGGGATTACCAACATACGTCACTATGTCCCACAACCTTATGGGTTTTGTTTTTCTAAAATAAAAGTGCCATACTACCTTCTTTGTTTGTTATCATAAGCTCCTTGAAGAAAGAAAATTTATTCCACTTTAGGATATACAGTGCTTGTGTGGAACACCACGGTGGACATGTTTAAATGTGGGCTAAACGTCTGTGTTATTCAAATCAACCAACTTGGAGTCATTAATCACTTTCCCAGAGCTGCTGATATAACCAAAATCAGCTGTGCACGAGGCCCTGGGTTCAATCCCCAGCAAAAGTTTTCTAACTAAATTATCTGACTCCCTACCTCATCTTAGCACAGAAAGGAACTGAGACGCAGAGGACAGCTCACCCAAAGCCACACAAACTGGGGAAAGCATGATTACAATTATCATGTGGGGAGCTAGAGAGACGACTCTTACAGAGAACCAGGGCTAACTCCTACCACCCACAAGGTGTCTCAGGACCCAGTTCCAGGGGAACCAACAGGCATACATGAAGTACACATAAAGACACATAATGAAAATTTAAGATTTCCATGTGGCTGTCAGACACCTTCTATACATAAACAAAAATTTAAAAATCAATCTTTCAAAAAATAAAAATGAGGAAGAAAAATAGGCCAAGAGTGGTGACACCTGAAATCTCAGTGGGTCTCAACTCCAAGGCCAGTCTGGGAGACACAGCAAGACTAGGATTTTTTTTAAGCACTAACACTTTTTTTTCCAGTGAGTAAACATGATTGTGCTTCATAGCTCTCCTCTCTAGGGCTTTGTCTCACATGTTGGAAACAGTAGTGAAGAGTAACTGCACAAGGCTCTGAAGGTGGGAGATGGGTGAGGCACGGCAGAGCATGGGGAGACTGGCTGTCAGCAGGTTGACAGTGATCAGAGTCAATTTCCCCAGCACTCCCTCAGTATGTAAGGAAGAGCAGTAGGATGCTGGACCTTGGGAGAGGATAAGAAGGGTATCTCTGGCTACAGATACCAAGCTCAAAAGAACTGCACTTCTCCACAAATAGGAGTTTGTTGGACAAGGGGAAAAGGTCTTCTAGGACAAGAAGGAGGTTGACAACTACTTAGCCTAAAGAAGGAGAGCATGAAGTCAGGGCTAGCCTGGGCTATAGAGCAAATTTAAGGCTAGTCAGATTGACTTTGTGAGAACCTGTCTTAAAAAATAAAAACAAAGCTCTCAGCTGAGTGAGTAGAATTCTTGACTAGTGTGTGTGATGTCCTGGATTCAACCCCTGTCTGGAAGAAACAGAAATCATACTGAGCAAGAACAGAGTGGATATGGAGAAGGAGGACTGGGTGTAGGATTGTCAGAGAGGAGCTCCCACCAGAGACAGAGAAGAGACAAAGAAAACCCTCAGACGGGAGGTTAAAGATGGAGGGAAAGAGTTGGCATGGCGAGTTCTTGTGTTCAGTCATAAACTGGGTGTACAAAACGTCAAGTTTTTTCCTGTCAGATTATCAAGAAGATTATTTTTAATTTTAGTGTTTTCAGAGGTACAGGAGGATTGGCACTTACTGTCAGTTTATTTACGTATTTACTTTCTTCCTGTCCCCTCCTCTCCCACCTGCTTTCCTATCATATATGTTCCACCCTCAGCTCTTGTCCTGCATCCTCCCTTTAGACCTCCCTTTCTACTTTTGTGAATATATGTACAGGTAGGTGTGTGTGTGTGTGTGTGTGCGTGTAGCTATATGGATATGAATGTACCACATATGAGAGAAAACACTGTTTGTTGTTCTGAATCTGTTTCTCCTAATATCGTGATGAATCCCCAGTTCCACCCATTTTCCTGCAAACTTTCTTATTTCTTACAGCTGAATAAAGTTCCATTGTGTTTGCACTACATTTGCTTTACCCACTCACCTGGTGATGGACCTCTGGGTTGAGTGTGTATCTTTGCTGTTGTGAACAGTACAGTAACAGTTGTGGATGTGTAAGTACCTGCCATGTGCTGACTGAGGATCCTGGTGTGTAGCAGGAGTGGATCATGTGCTTCTGTTCTTAGGGCTTTATTCCTCCCTTGTGCTCACTGTAGTCCAGGGTGGCCATGGACTAGCAGTGATTCTCCTGCCTCAGTTTCCCAAGTGCTAGAATTATGGGTAGGAACCACCATGCCCAGTTTATTCTTCAGCTTTTTAAAGAACCTCCATCTGACTTTCATAGTGGCTGTGCAAGTTCATGTCCCTGCAGCACTGTCTAACAGTTCCTCTTTCTCCACACCCTGGCCAGTAGTGGTTGGCATTTATTTTCTCGATTGATAACCATTCTGACTGGAGTGAGATGGAATTTGTAAGTAGTTTTCATTTGTATATTCAAGTATTTATAGGCCTTTTGTTATTTTTTCTTTGAAAACTGTCATTTGAGTTATTTTTCCCATTTGTTGATATGATTTAGGGGTTTTGGTTTTTAATGTTCACAGTTCTTTATAATGTCTAGATATTAGTCCTGTCAGTGTAGTTAGTTGGCAGAGCTCTCACCCCTCTGTGGGCTGCCTCTTGATGCTGCTGATTGTTTTCTTTGCTGTGCACAAGCTTTGTCATTCCATGCAATCTCATTTCTCAGTTCTTAGGATTATTTTCTGTGCGATCGGACTTTTCAGAAAATTCTTATTTGTCTATGCTTGCATTTTAAAGTATTTTGCCTATGTTTTCCTTTAATATTCCATAACTTTTTCACTTTTATGTGCAAGGTTTCATGAAGCTTAGACTGGCTTAGAATTTCTGATTCTCCTGCCTCCACCTTTCAATACTGAAATCACCACCACTCACAGCACCCCCTTTTCTTGACGAGGTCTTAGTTGTAGTCGGGCTTGTCTTAAACTCTTCTTTCTCCTGCCTCAGCCTCATCCCCCCTCCTATCCCCAGTGCTGGGATTACAGGCATATACTGCTTCACCAGCCTGAAGCGACCCTTTAAAAGAGGGTAGAGTTGAAAAGATGAGCCTGGGGAGATGGCTTAGCTGGAAGGTGCCTGCTGCACCAACATGAAGATTTAAATTCAAATCCCCAGCATTCACAC